AAAATATATATATATATATATTAATGTAACTTTTGATTGAATCATAACTATTCAGGTAAAAGTTATTGATCCATTAGTGAATCTTGGGATAGCATGTAAGACTCCTTCCACAAGTCTCTCTCTCATTTTTTCCTTCCTTCCATTACTCTCTTCTCATTACGTTTCTTGGCTGAAATATGAATGTTAGGGTTTGATTTGGAAGGTGGAGCTGTTGAGAATCAAGAAGAGCAGCAAAACTAGTCTTCCTCCCCGAAACAATTTCATTTCTCTTATTCTTCTTCTTCTCCTCCCCGAAAGCTCAAAACCGAAATTTTTCTCCCTTCGAGGTAAGGGAAGCTAGAGTTTGTTGATTGGGACAAAATATTGTATTGTTGCAACAAATTGCTGGTTGCATGTTGATTAAATTGGAGTTTGTGGAATTAGAAAGAGGGGTTTTAAGTTGTTTGAAGAATGTGATGGATTGGGTCAGATTTCTTGTTGCACGTGGGGTTTGTGATGTTTTCTGAGTTGCATGTTGATGGTATGACTGTTTTCTTGCAAATGTAGGTGTTGGGTCGCTTCGATTTGTAAGTTTTGATGGATTTTGGGTGAAAAACATGTGGGAAGCCATCGAAGGGTAGAAAGTTTAATTTGAAGCGCTGAATTAAGTGCTGCATAGTGCTGCATTTCTGGGGCTAGATGACCGAATTTAGTTTTAGAATCTTCATGAAAGTTGTAGCCTTGGATGTTAGATTTCCAATGGAACCGGAATCACCTAAAAAGAAGGTTTGGAACTCTAGATATGGTTGTTTTAGTGAACAGGGGTCAAGCTGTCAACATTGGTTGTAGCTGTTGCGGTTTTTTAAAATTTTTAACAAAGTAAATGATAGAATTAGGACTATATTTCTTCATAAGAGTTGTAAGAAATCTTCTTATCTTTAATATGAGATAAGGATGATAATGATAGGAGTAGTATAACTCCATTTATGGTTGTTTTAGTGAACAGGGGTTAAGTTGTCAGCAATGGTTGTAGCTATTGCGGTTCTTAACATTTTTAACAAGGTAGATGATGAAATTAGGACTTGGTGTCTTCATGAGAGTTGTAGGAAATCTTCTTATATTTCATATGATATAAGTATGAGAATGATAAGAGTAGTATAACTTCATATATGTTGTTTTATGTGAAGGCTGTCATTTCACAATAAATGATTTGGTTAAGTTGAAAGTTGTTTTGGGTGCTTAGGTTAATTTATGTTGTTTACGTCTATGAGTTGGCATGATAAATGAGTTGTAAATATGTAGTATGAGTTGTGTTATGTGATGAAAATGTTATGTGATGATATATAATGATAAAATATTGATTAATGATGTTGTTAGTGATGCTTTTGTGATGAATATGAGATGTAAACGAGATGTATGAGTAACTATTATGTGTTGTGAATGTTGTAAATGGTTAGTGATGATTGCATAGCATGGGTTGATGTGTTTGCGTTGAAAGATGATGTTGTGTAGCATGATGAGGATACTTAGTAGTGAGATGAGAGATGCATGTTGTAGCTAAGTTGTGAAGTTGTATAGTTGTGTAGTTGTGTAGGGGTGCTAAATGAGTTGAAGAGTTATGCGTTGAGTGAGTTATTGTACGAAATAAAAATGTGTTGAATATGTGGTATGTTGTTGAAGTTGTTTACAAGTTGTGTGTTGACTATTTATATGTTGTGAAATATGATGAGATGATCTAGTTGAGTTCTGTGAAGTGCATGATGATAATTTTATGAGTTGTAAGAAGCATGATGTGAAGTGTGTAGATGTGTTGATATGATACAAAAGTTATTAGTAGACTGTGTTGCTAAGTTGTTATATGAGAGTTGTATGTTGTTATAAAGTTGTATGTTATACTATGCATTGAAAAGATATTACTTTGTGATGGTTGAGCTGTAAATTGTGAGTTGAGCTATTAAGTTGTTGAGTTGATTGTATTGTTTAAAGTTAAAATGAATTGATACATAGTTGAGTTGATGAGATGATAATTGTGTTGTTGTGCTGTGATGATGAGTTGTTGATCACTAGGACTAGGGGAGATGTTTTCGAAGTTGCTTATCCCATTGTGTGGATTGAGAGTGTTGTGGTGCTTTGAGAGCCCAATTTGTTGAAAAACCCTCCTTAAAAAGTTGTCTCTTGAAGTGGATGATGTGTTATTCTATTCTAAGACTTAATTGATCCTGTGTGTGGGCAAGGTCAAGGCACACGTGTATGAAGTGACCATGGTATAGGGGTCAAGTCGAGCTATATCGATTACAAGTGGTCAATTCAAGTAAAGTACGAAGTTGAGAACTTAGTTCGTAACCGAGTATCGGAGGGTTGTAGTATTTGGGGGATAGTTAGTAGGCTAATCTCATATGTGACTTAGTTGAGCTAGCTAATGCCATGGTAGGCCTAAACCTAACTGTCCTATCCTGACATAGTACTATACTTTCTTGTTTAAGTGGCAAAGTCTGAGAGACCGTTATCGTGTTGTGAATTTTTATCCAAATTTGTTGTTTACCTAGCAAATCCAAAAAGGTTATCTGTTGTTGGTTCGGTAGGACCTAATCACTTAGACTGCTCACCCTGTGTTGTAGGAGATCTCTGAGTTGAAATGTGTGACGATGCATATGTGTTGATGAGTTGATATTGTGATGATATGAGTTGTATGTGTTGGTGTGTTGTGAAGGTGCTGTTGAGATGTATGTTGTCTATATGTTGTGTGTCGCTTGATGAATTAGTTGTTATTGTTGATAGTGACGTTGTGTTGCAGGTTACTTTTATATTCATATGTTGTTTTAGTATTATGTGTTGTAGGTTGAACAAGTATGATGATGATGATGATAGCATTGTTAGATTACCTATGTTGTAAGTTGCTTTTAAATACATGTGTTGTTGAGAGGTATGTAATACATGTGTTGTTTGTTGTTATGTTGAATATGGTGACTATTATGATGAGTTGTATATTGGTTTATGTTACATGTTTTACACATATGTGTTGATGTGTTGATAATGTGTTGATCAACGTTTAATATGTTGGAATTAAATTGAAATGATGTTGAGATGTGTGGTATATATGTTGTTTGTTACTTGTGTTGGATGTGAAGATGATTGTATAGTTGTTGTGTTGCTTATTTAATTTTTATGAGTTGTTTATTTTTTCTAGCTTACCCTTACATGTTTCCATGTGGTTTAGACTGCAATGATCATGTATGCGATGATCATACAATGTATAAGAGCAATGCATGGATAGACTGAAAGATAACTACTAGAGGCAATAAGAGATACCTGGAGTGGATGTTTATTTTGTAGACTACCTTATAGTAACATATTTTGTTATATATAGTTGAATGTTTTTTGTTGCTTACTTAGCAACTTGTGTTGTAAATATCTTATTATACTATTTTAGTATATATTTCATTAGTGTGTTATATTGTTCCATAATGTGATGGTGAAGATTAATCATTACATAGAAAATTTAGTTGATTTAGAGAAGATGAGAGAAAGAGAGTAAAGGAAGAAAGAGAGAAAAGAAAAAGAAAAAGCAAAATTCATCATTTAAAATAATCTATTTAAAAAATTGTTAATTGACATCGGATTTAACGTATTTAAAAAAAAAAAAACACTAATTATTTTAATTATCTATCATCAAATTATTTTGATATATTTTAAATTTTTCTTTAATTATCTTAATTAAATATTATATAATTTTTTTACATTAAAATTTTAATTAAATATTATAAAACTTTTTTATAATAATTTTTTTTTAAAATTCTTCAAAATCTTAGTTCAATACTTCTCTCCGAAAAAAGCTCCAGGAACAATGCAGGATGAAGTGCGAAAATATGACATTTTTTTTTGTGTTCATTTCTCTCATAGAAAAGTATTTCTCTAATTAAAAATACGTGCGGAAAATTATAATAACTGATTAAAAAACAAAAGAAAATATTAATTCATTTTTTAAAAATAAAAAATGACTAAATTATACTTTTAATTTCTCTATTTATTTTAAATTTCAGTTTAATCTTATCATTTTTAAAAGATTTAAATTTATTTTTTAATTTTCAAAAAATGTCTAATATTATATTTTCATTTAAATTAACATTAATGGTATTGATAAAGTTAAATAAAAGAATAATATTAAATATTTTTCTAAAATTAAAGAATTAAGTTAAATATTTTAAAAATTTTAATTTAATCATCTAATTTTTAAATAATATTTAATATTATCCTTTATCAAATTTTATTAATATTGTTAATGTGAATTAGATAAAAAAAAATATTAAATATTTTTAAAAATTTAAAAGATATAAATTAAATTAGTTAAAAATAGTGAGATCAAATTAAATTTATAAAAATAAAAAAAATATGTAGTTTAGTCAATATAAATAAGATAGTTAGTTATCGGAAAAAGCTCTAAAATTTGTATATGAAAAAATAGGGATGTGGACTATGGATTCGGAGTTTAAGATCCGGCCCACTGTAAGGCCCACACCCTATAAACCCTAATTTGGACTTTCTCTCTTCACTGCCTTTATAATCGAACTCATGCTCATTTTTCTTCGTCGCTCATCTCCGCAACCAAGTACCGTTTAAGGGTTCGTTTCGTTTTGTCACCCGGAACCTGAATTTTCCTAAAGTTTTCATCTTTACGAGATTCATTTTCCGTATCTCAATGGTTTGTGGTAGTAATCTCTTTTTTATTTTCTTAATTTCTTTTGAAATTAATTTTTTTAGGTATTATTTTTGTGCTGTGACGAGGCAATTTTGTGGACTAGAGTTTCTGATCTGGGAATTTACTCAGAAGTTGATTATTAACCCTTGGCTGTCTGAGCACACCCAATTTTAAAAAAAAGTTTCATTTTTTTTTCATTTGTTTTTCAATTTCAATTTTAATTTTTCTATCAATGATTGTGCAACACTTGTTTTGTTAAATTGGTCTGAGAAAATAATTCGGCTCATGATGATGATTTAATTATCTTAGCGGATTTCAGTGAGATTTCTATCAATGATCTGATTGTTACACACACTGAAGCCATTTTCTATTCCTGAATTTTGACTTTTGTTTTTCAAATGTGTATTTGCTAATTGTTCTATGTTGTTGTCATTGTAGTAAGCAATTTTTGTGTGTTGAGAAGTGCAATGATGAGATGAAACACGTAAGTGTTTATTGGCAGTGGACGTTACCTTAAGGTTTCGCCGTGAGCCTATATTTTAACGACTTCTCCTTCCACTGAGCACAATCACAAATGTTAGTGGAAAAAGTATTTGAATGAATGATTATTAATGGTTTGTATATTAGAGAATATAGTTAATTTTGAATATAATATATCATTGATTGTAGTGTATATTTTTCTTTGCGTCCATTACCAATTCTGGGGGATATCTAGTTCCTCTTGGTATAATGGCTTGGACGCAATATCAATAATGTGGTCATCCTGATTGATGGTTTAGTAACTATACCATATGGTCTTGGAAACGCCACAAACATTATAATAGTTATAGATATTGATGAATGCAAGTTTTATCTTGTGAAGAATGTGATTATATGAAGATTTGTGTGCTGTGACGAGACAATTTTGTGGACTAGAGTTTCTGATCTGGGTGCATACTCAGAAGTTGATTGAGAAACCCTTGGCTGTCTGAGTACACCAAATTATACTGTTAACAATTTTGTTTTTTGTTTTTCTATTATGTATGTTGTTGGAGCATTCATGTATTTTTCTGATATCATTATTTTGGCAAGTGATAATTTTGTTAAATTGGCTATAGAAAAAAAAAATTGGCTTATGATGAAAGTTTAATTATCTTAAGCGGATTTCAGTGAGATTTTTATCAATGATCTGATTGTTACACACACTGAAGCCTATCTGCCTATGTGTAAATTTCATTATAATTCCTGTTTTGAATTGTGCTTTTTAGAAACATTATATCATTATATGTCGTAGCGCGCATTTGAGAATCAGTTTAGTTCAATTCTTTTAGGGTTTATTATATGTGCTTTTTTTCTGCATTAAAATGTGTATTTTTCAGTGGAAAGTAGGTTTAGATGGTATTCAAGTAGAGTTAATCATCTATTTAATTGTGTTATATCATTGTTAAAAGTATATATATATATAGTGACATGGTACAATTAAAAGATTTAATTAGATGTCAGTGTAAAAAGTAAATATCTATACACTATTAAGTGATTAACTCATCCTATTTTGGAGATAACTCTGATGGAGAATTTTTTTAAATGTCATGGAAGTATAATTCTATGCTAGTCGACAGTTGGAACTAAAGATGGTTTTCTTTTTTATACTAAGGAACTAAAGATGTTTAAAAATATAAATTGAACCGATTCGGGTGATAAAAATTGAATTATTTTGAGGAAAAAGGTTACTGATTTATTTTATAAAATTGAATCCGATATTTAATTTTTTAAAAAACTGTTTCATTATAAGAAGAAATATTGAATTGATATATTTTATAAGATTTATTTGGTTTTTTTTTTATAAATTGAATTAAATTGTTTTTGGATTGGTTGCTCAAATAGTCGGACCGTGAGTTTTTTTTTTGAAAAAAAATAAAGAACCGATCTATTTTATATGAAAAGAAAAATCGGTTTGAACTGCTTCTATAATTTGAACAAAAAACGCCCTAATTTGAAATCGAGATTAAGGCTTGATTCGAAATTGAGACTATTTAGAAGGTTTTATTTATACTATTTAATGAAGAGCAAAACTTAAAAAGAGATATAAATGAACAGAAATTGAAATGAAATAACAGAAATTGAATGTTTTCCTGAGATGAGAGGTAAGAAAAAAGGTACTTGTGAACTGTGATCTTATTAAGGAATGAATCTGATTTGTCTGTATAAAAAACCTTTTTTGCACTTTATTACTTTCTTTTTTTTATTATACTAATTACTTTTTAAAAAATCTCTTGTATTAATTATTTTTTCTTTTATTAATTAGAGCAATTTTAATGAGATTTGTTTGTCTTATCGATTTCTTGTTATTGGAAGGCTCTGATGTGACAACATGATTTGTTTGAAGAAGAGAGAGAGTTATTTTCTCAAGCAGTTCCTTATTAGATTTCAAGCAGATTTTATTGAACATATTTGAGAATGTTTCGAAAATAATAATGATGAAAATTAATTTCTTATAATGTTTATGTATTTATTATTATTTTATTTTATTTTTAATATCTATTTATTGTGTATTTTTTATCGTAATTTATTTTTTTTATTGTAGTGCAATTATCTTTTTTAATAAAAATTTAAATTTAGTTCATTAATTATTAGAAAAAAAATTTTAAAAGAATTTTTTAAAGTTTCTTACCATTTGAGTAAATTTGTGTAACTTGTTTAATGCTGACATAGCACACTTGAGACTATTTTTTTTTTATTTTTCAATTTATGAATGAGTTGCTTCCATTAGAGATGACTTTAGTAATTTTGTAATTAAAAGTTAACTTGTATCACTTTGATGGTAAATTTTGTAATTAAAAGTTAACTTGTACCACTTTGATGGTAAATTTTGTAATTAAAAATTAACTTGTATCACTTTGATTTTGTAATTAAAAGTTAACTTGTATCACTTTGATGGTAACTAAACTACTTAGATAGACTCACACTAATGAAATAATATTATAATGATGATGTAATAAAATTGATCATGTGATATTGACACGATAATAAAATATCAAATTTATTTAAAATAAAAATTTAAAAATTGACTTATATGAACTATAACTCATGATTATCATTTTAAAATTTACAATTTAAACTATTTAGGGACTTAACTTTATTATTATTATTATTATTATTATTATTATTATAACTTGAATAACATATTATATATAATATTACTGTTTGAATTAGTTTTTTTTTTTAAATTTAATCTAATATTAACCTAGTTTAAAATTAATAAATAATAAATTCACTTAATAAAAATAATATTTATTTTAATAAATTTATTATTTAATATATTTTTATGCATTAAATATAAATATACAATCAATTTTTGTCATTTATTCCTTTTTCAACCATTTTTTTTCTTTTTCAATACACCAATAAAGTTGTATTGTCTTTTTCAATATTATAAATTTATATTATTCTATGAAAAATATTTTATATAATATACATACTAATATTATTACTATATTTTTTATTCTAATAATATAAATTTTATTTTTTAATGTTTTTATCCAATAAATATAATATAAAATAAATTATTATATTAAATAATATATACTAATATTATATTATTTATTTTATGTTTTATTTGTTACGATTTGTTTTATATTATATAAAAACTATATTAAATAGTATGTTATATAACTAATTTACTAATAAAAGTAATATTTTACTAAATAATTTATTATTCATTATTTTTAAATCATATTGTTTTATGCCAATTTTAAACTAGATTATCATTTGATAAGAATTTTAAAAATTAATAATTAACTTGAATAATAATGTTACATATAATATTTTATTCAAGTTATATTGATAAAAGTTAAGTTACTCAATGGTTAATACTTAATATGATGATTTTTATATTAAGGTAGTCGCTTCTAATTCGTATAAGGTTATTTTTTTAATTTTTTTTTTCAATAAATCTTATATTTTCATGTCATGTCAACACCATATTACTAAAGAGCATCACTACTAGAGTTTCTTATCATCAATCCATATGGGTCGCCATGTTAACATTAGCATCATGTCACAATTTAATTGACAAAAAATACTAAAATTGTGTAATTTTAAAAATTGGAAGATCAAAATTGTGTGATTAAAAAATGAAGGAACAAAAAAATGTGAATTGAAAATTATAGGAGGATAAGTGGTGCAATTTAGCCTTTTAAATTGATTATTTTGGTAGGAAAAAATTACTAGAATGAGAAATAGTTAATTTTGAAAATATTATAAATAATTTTGGAAAAATAGTTTAAATTGATAGTTTTAATATTATTAATTGAATTATTCAATTTTCTAACTAAGTCTCTTACCCCAATAGTTGTGTCCTACCCTTTGAGAAGGAGTTATTAGGTGATTTTGGCAAATGCACTAGAGTCACACAAATAATCAGTCATAAGTAGATATCGTCTCCTAAAAAACTTGTGTAATACACGATAATAAATACATTCAATAATTAATTTAGACTAAAGAATATTCATTAATTAACATTAATTTATAAAAGAAATAAAATCTATGTAAAAGAAAGATAAGTTCTTTTTAGTATTTTTCAAATACTTAATTAACATTAAGTATTTTGTTCTAATTTAAGATTATAAAAGATACTTTTCAATACCTAATAAATCAAATATCAAGCTATGGTTAATCACTCCACAATAAGTATTAAGAGTGGAAACAAAATATTAACATTAAAATGGAAAGACATATATAATAATAATAATAATTATAATAATAATAATAATAATAATAATAATAATAATAATAATAATAATAATAATAATAATAATAATAAAATACAAGTTACATGAGTTTGGTTAGTTACATTTAGTCCCAACAAGGATGGAATTAGCTCTTCTTATCACAAAGAACACAAAATAAAAAAATAAAGTGATTCATAAAAATTGGAGACCCAAGAAGAAGCTTCAAGATGATAAATGAAGCACTAGTAACACTTCAAAGACCCCCAAATCCAAAAGTGAAAGTTGATGTTCAAACCCTCAAGAAAAGAGAGATAAAATGAATCAAACATTCCACATAATAAAATTGGCGCCCAACACAAGCTAACCCACGTCGGGTGTAGGCACACGAATAATAAAAGAACACTTGCTATCAAGATCACGCTGGGCGTGAATAGAGTGGCGCTTGGTGCAATCAAGTGAGAGAATATAAGGTTTTTGTTGGGGTTATTTTATGATATTTGTCTGAGAGAATATTTTGAGTGTTATTTTTATAAGATTATTACATAAGCATACTCCACAATGATAATATATTGTTCGCTTTGGGTCTAACTCCTCACGGTTTTGCTTTTGGTCATTACCCAAAAGACCTCTCTATCATTGAAGTATTTTTGTGTTATATAAATTGTTATTTATTGTCTTATTTTATCAATGTGGGACTTGTTTGTATCCCAACAATTTTAATGTCTAATGTGAGAGACATATGATAGTTAGAAAAGATGGCTAATTCAAGAGGTGGGAGTTGAATTAGATTTATAAAAAAATTCTTATTAAAACTTATCTCAGATAAAAAAAAATTCTTAATATTTTCAAATTAATCTTAACCTTATTGGAATAAGTGCGTTGAAGATTAAACCATGCAAATCTAAATCAATATACCCTACATCTTATATTTTTTTATATACAATACATATATTAATGAGCATGTATTCAAATTAAACAAGCAAGTAAAATTCAATTAAGGATAAGAGAAATTTGCACAAAGATTTATATTGGTTCAACCACCATCAATGTGACCTACATCCATTCCTCAATCAACTCGATCAAGTATTTCCTTAATCTTTAATATCTAGAGGTTTATAATCATAAATCACATGCAATTCACTTGAAAACAATTAAAGAAACCCACTTTTTGAATCTAAAGAAGTAACCCTTGTAGATATCCACTATAAGAAACCTTTCTACCTTAAGAAACCTACTCAATAACAAAGAAAGAATTAGGAAAGATATAACCTAATGTACATAACAAATTAAATAGGTGAAAAACTAAACCATTGAGTCCAAACTCTCCATCTAAATTGATGATGATTCAATTCTCTTGATTCATGATAGAAGAACTCCCAAAGGGTAACACATCTCTTTTACCAAGAAAACTCAACTCATAAGCTCACTCAATTGTTTAGAGAACATAAAATATAAGTTCTTTTAAGTTCTAAAAATGAAAAACGTTATATAGATTTTTTTTAATGAAATAATTAATTATTTTGATAAATAATCGATTATTTTGTTATTTGCAAATTTGGAAACTCGCTAAGAACAATTTAATCGATTATTTTGATGAAAAATCAATTATTCCATAAACTCATTATGAAATAACTGATTATTTTGTCAGATAATCGATTATTTATGCAATTATTTTCATATTACTTGAAAATAGGATAAATAATTGATTAAAGCTAAAGATAATCAATTATTTTGACTTAAGAGTCAATATTTCAATTTTTCACTCTAGATCTTTTTCAAATTATTTTTAAACTTTAAAATTATTAATTTAAATCATCAATCATTAACTTATATGAAGATTAACAAACTAACTAATGATTTAGCATCTAAGTACAAAACTAAATACACACAAGACAAATTTCAGGTTGCACTCTTAATACCAAGAGGCTTATACAAAGACTTATACATTTACATTTGTAATTATCAAATAAGAGCTTTAACTTGATTTTGATCAACAATGACTTATTAAGGGACTAATATATAAATAATTAAATAATTAAGATAAATTTTAAATGGGTTAAATAAAGCATAGATAATTGTTATTTAATGGGTAGGGGCGGACTTTAGACATGACGCCCAAACTTTTCTAGTTTTTTTTTTATATATATATACTCATACATATATATTAATATTATATTCGTATATTATCATATTATTAATTGTAATAAAACTAAAAAAATTGAGTAAAGAAAATGAAAATTTCTATTATATTTTTAATTAATAAAAAAAATTATATAAAAAAATTAATTTGATACCCCTAAATTTTTTTTTTCAAATTCCGCCACTATTGATGGGAGTTGTAGTTTTAAGGGGTTATATATATCCATTAACATGAAATAAAATCCCCTTCGTGATAGAAAAAAATTCTCTTAAATCCTTGTCATCACAAAAGGTAGAATGAGTAAAAATAAGAGTTAAAGAAATGAAATCTTAATTTTCCTATCATCTCAACAAAATTAAAATGCTTTAAGGTTCAACATTTGCCATAGGGTAAACCATTATCTCTAAGGCCATAATTGATTCTACCAAAAGGCCAATGATAAATAATAACTCCCCTCAAACACAACTTACAAGTTAGAATTTTAATTTCAATTAAAAGATGCTAAGTTAGAATTTCATTCTAACTAAGGATTCTTGTGGTCATGAAGGATTCAGATATAGGAGAATCAAGAAGGAGAGCTCTCTTCCCCACCCCCCGATTTTTTCCACCTAACTCTTTGAACTTAAGAATATTGATGTTTAAAAATGAGTGAATGCCTTTCTCCAAATGAATAAATGCATAAGGTAAATGTAGTTGAGGGTTGGAAGAGAAGAAAAAGTTGTTGAGGTTTAGAAATGAGTTGAGTGGGTTAATAAGATATTGAAACGTGAATGGATGAATGAATGCAAGTGGTTTTATTCTCAACAATAAAATACGCTCACACGAGTAAGAAATTATAATTGCAAAATTTTCAATCCCTCTTGGGAAACCAGTTAAAACTATCGGAATGAGTATATATATGCAACATTTTAGTGTTTAAGTGACCAAGATTTCACGAAGATTTCCATGGAAAAATTAAAAAAGAAAATTTTAATTCTTGAGACGTTAAAAAAAAAAAAAGAGATTAAATCGCTTATGCATCAACTTTGTTGATGATTGACTCAACTGATACATATTTCAATTCCTAGATCAACGTTCCAGTGGATGCCAGAAAGTCATTTCTTGCATGAAATATAGATGCCTGATACTATAGCCACCCCACACGGCAACACCGACAGATGTTAAGATTCTTATTGCAGATACAGCTGGTTTGGGAGATGGAACTGTCATGAGATCCTTCATCTGAAAAACAGTAAGGTGAATATTAAGGTAAGAAAATCTGAGACAGTAATAAAATAATAAGAACCGGTAAAGTAGTAGCTGTGAATGATCCCCTTTTGTTTTTTTTTTTGTTGCTAAAATACTTCTAAATTCCATTTTATATAATAGAAAAAACTAATGTTCACACACCACAACAGGTTGCTTCCAATGCTTCTTTATTCCCTGTAGATGCCCCTTTCCAACAACAGCTACAACTGAGCTATTTTCACTTGCCACTTTTAATAATGTGGAGGACATATACCTGGATAGACGCAACATAAGTCAAATCATGTAGAATTTATAAACTAAATATATATGTACATAATTGTAGAAAAAGCCTTGACAAAGCAAAGGCACTTCTAAGCATAAGTAATAGAGGAAAAAAACATGCACTAATGTTTTCATTGATATACATAGGGTTTATTGAGTAAACCAATCTGTGAACACTTCTAGAAGAAAATAAGGTAAAATAAATTGAGTTTCTCCCATAAACTAAAATCAACATATATACTTAACTATTATTAAAAAAAAACTCTCATTTAACTTCTTTAGAAACTAAGGTGCATAAGTCGATTTTTATAGGACATTCAAATGTATTTTATCTACTTATTTTTTTTCTTCTACAAATATTTATGGATAAATTTATTCAAACAAGACCACATAGACTAAAATCAGAAAAAGTCAAAATATTTTTTTTGAAGAATTGCTTGTTCCTCATGATGCTAAAGACTATAATATACTGCACATCCATATGTAAATAAGCTATTTCATTTAATGTCCCAAAATGCTCTGATGACAAGTAGCGCCCTTTTAAATTTCTTCAAAATATAAAATTTACCAATATTTATTTTATTTTTCATTTCTAATGCACAGCCTATCCAAGACATTAAGTTAATATTTTTGTCCTTTAGCTCCGCCAATGCATGTATACTAGTCAAAAGGCATAATTAGATGATGGACCAGTTAGTTTAAACTTTTTCCTAAAAGAAAACACTTCTTTAAAAAAAAGAAGCATTTTTTTATGTGGTTGTCTAAACTACTTAATTTAAAAATAAACAGTTTTCTATTTCTTTTTAAGAAGCAACTTCTATTTGTTCTTAAAAAATTACTTTTTCAAAAAGCGTTATTTTATAATTAGTTTTTGTATGTTTAAACAAACTGACCCAATATCCCCCCTCCCCAACCCAAAAACAAAAAGATATCTGCTCAGTACGATCAATTCAAAGGTTTTTCCATATGATATGCTCTAAAATAAAGAATGCACTCAGAGTAAGAAGTCCAAGCCTCCATGATATTTGGATTTAGATAATCAGAATGGCTAGGATATGAAGAAGTAAGGACCAGAAACATATCCAACCTCCAACCGGGACCCCTCTCCTAGAAGGAAACATACTGGGGTGACAAGTGTTAAGCAAAGCTTTCTTTAAAGGATAAGGGAAGCAGTTGTTGGGTAACAGAAGCAATAAATGAAACTGCAAATTGAACTAAGAGCTTGGACTTACTGATCTCGTTCATGCACCAGAGTCTCCATTAAAGTTGGAAACTCCTTGCTCATTTCCTGAATAACAAGAGTTAGCATGTCACTGTCATCCATTTCCTTCAGCTAAAGAAAGCAAACCCAAGTTAGGATGTAGACGATAACTTCACAAACACAATCAATTCATACTTATCACTAGCAAATGAGGATTGTGAAATTTACCATCTTATTAAGATCATCAGAGCTGGGTAAAAACACTGCTTGAAAAAATAAAGAGTATAACAATTTTGTCTTATGCCAAAGTGGCATCTTGCTCCATGTTCTCCTCAAAGTAATCTGTCTCAACCAAATTCAGAACCCAAACAAAAAGGTTCAACATCAAGTAAACCAAGTAAAAAGCAGACATATTAAAATAGTAAATGTTGAAAATAAAAATTACTTGAATTAAACTAATTTAGTACAATCCAATATATTTCCAATGCTTTGAAAAGAAAATCTCATCCAACCTGTACAGGACGATCACCAAGTATTACTCTGCCACCATACTTGATGGCTTCTTCATATGCCACACGAAACTCAGAGCCAGGAAAGACCTCAAGTTTACTAGCAATCTGTCAGAATTTTAAGGAGAGAAAAAGGAGGGTATATGATAAGTATAGCATTAATAAATAAGAAAAGGGCAAATATTAATAATTGAAAATCAAATAAGGATGATACATATGATTCTCAAAAAAAGAAACCTGCCTTGGCAAGGAACCAGCCATAAAGTACTTCAAACATATTATGTTTTTTCTTCAACATTGTAATCATTTCGCCCATAGTGGGTACCTGGAAGAAGGCAAAAAATAAATAAACATACAAAAAAACAGATAACTGGATGAGAACCAAAAGTAATGATGGAATCAAGGAAAATAGCTGATGCTAAGTTTGAATAAAACATCTAGGCCCTTAGACAACAATAATTAGGATTATCATTTTATGGCTAAAAGAGATGATTATTTTCTCCTTTATGTAAAAGGAAAAATAAATTACTCATAAGTTGACAGATAAAAGGTTTAAATCGTCAAGGTAAACAAGCCTCTGTGTGTGATGTTAAAACACCAGTAAGCCATACAAGTATTCAGCCATTAGACAACAATAATTAGGATTATCATTTTATGGCTAAAAGAGATGATTATTTTCTCCTTTATGTAAAAGGAAAAATAAATTACTCATAAGTTGACAGATAAAAGGTTTAAATCGTCAAGGTAAACAAGCCTCTGTGTGTGATGTTAAAACACCAGTAAGCCATACAAGTATTCAGCCATTAGACAACAATAATTAGGATTATCATTTTATGGCTAAAAGAGATGATTATTTTCTCTTTTATGTAAAAGGAAAAATAAATTACTCATAAGTTGACAGATAAAAGGTTTAAATCATCAAGGTAAACAAGCCTCTGTGTGTGATGTTAAAACACCAGTAAGCCATGCAAGTATTCAGCCATATTATACTTTATCTTTCCAACTGTCCACTCATCTGAAACTAATTGGAAAAGAAGAATACTGATATTCTCTAAGTGTAATTTATTTCCTCATATGTGTTATACTCTTATGCACATAAATTACAAATTCGAACAAAACAGTTCAAAAGAGGTTTAGTTCAAAAGAGGGGGGCGGGGGGGAGGCTGGTACTCCCGACAAACGATACAATAATTAGAAAAGCACCAAATTAAAGGATAGAACCTTAAGATTCTGAAGGGTAAGCACTGCCACCCGACTCGAGCACAATTCTAGGAAGACAACCTGCACCAAACAAAGACCAGCCATAGAGTTTCAACATTTAAAATCCACAAAACCAGGCGTCATGAAATCAAGAACAAACAATCAAGCACGAGAACCATCGATTCCCAAACCAAGTGTTACAAAGTTCAAAACAGAAACAAAACCTGCGGTTTCAGAAAATTCACTATAGCTTGAACTTCTCTGCTTGATTCCTGCAACAAGAATTCAGTATAAACTTTAAACTCTCTTACAATTCCCCAACTGTACTTATTATTACATCAACTAGAATCGATACATGAAGACAAAACACGGCTATGCATCGTTTCGAAAATGACACAACAACAATTCCAATTGAAAAGAATACAGAAAAAGAAACCCTAATTTTTCGTTCCGGTTGAACACAGTGCAATGCATGATGAACCGAACGAATACCTCGGACACGTGAGCGGTGCCGACCAAGTAGACGTCGCAAACGCCGCCTTCGGCGGCGGACTCGCACGACAGAACCACCACGTTTCGGGAGAGCTCCTCCGGGAGCGTAAGCGGACGGCGATCGGAATCTGTCGAGGCTTCGGTGGCGGAGGAAACGCCGTCAGCGTCGGAAGTCTCAGGCTCGTCGATTCGAACCATGCTCTCGGAGAGGCTCTCCATCTTCAGATCCGCAACGTGGACGAAGTCTTCGGCGGAGGCGGCGGGGGCAGCGGGCTCCGGCGGGGGCGCATCCATCGCCGGGCGGAGGAGAGGGTGCGTTGGGCGGCGCGCGGTGGCGGAGGTCTTGGTGGAGAATTGGGGGAGAGAGAGGGTTTGGGAAGAGGAAATTGTTGTGAGGAAAGGTTTGGGGCGATGAATGAGCGGCGTGACTCGGGCGAGTTGAGTGACCAGGTGAGTCATAAGCTGATGAAGCGTGAAGGAATGCGGTTTGTGCGCAGTGAAAGTGAGAAATGGGAATAGTGTGCGTTGGAATGTGGACCCATCTCTCCCACAAGTTATTCCATGAGTGTTCAACCACAACGGGTGCCATTCAACAGTAGATACCGCGACTTTAAGGATTTGTTTGGATGGAAAAGAGGGAGCGGAAATGAAGGGATTTGAAGGAAAAGTGAGGTTGTTTGGACTAAGGAAAAATGAGTGAAAAGTGTAGAGAAAGTTTGTGAATGAATTGATTGATGTAATAGATAAAAATAAATTTTTTAATTGATAATTTTATAAGATTACTACTTTGCCTTTAAGTTAAAAAAAATTTATAATTATTATAATTAAAAGATAAATATAAAAATTTTAACTAAAAAAATAAATATAAAATCTTAATTTAAAAATAATTTAATTTAAATATTTGCTTTAAATTTAATGATAGATAAAAATTAAAAATTTAATAGGTGAATATGTAATTTATACTTTTATCCTTGAATTAAAAATGAGTATAATATTATTTATTATAAATAATAATAATTACAATAAAATTATATTAATAGGTATAATTTATTAAAAAAATAATAAATAATGATAATAATAATAATAAATATTAGAAAAATAATAAGAATCATAATAAATAATAATGATACTAATTATAATAAATAATAATAATATTAATAATAATGATAATAATAATAATAATATTTATAATAATAAATAATAATAACAAAATATATTATGATAATTATATTTTCTAACATTATTTTATTAATGTTTATCAAAGTGTTATTATTTTAATTTTATAAACATGTATTATTTTTTTTTTATATTTCTACTTTTTGATGTCAATATTTAAATAATAGAATTTTCTTAATATAAAAAAAATGTACAATAAATTTTTTGAAAGTTAATTAATAAATTAAAAAAATTGATAAATCATTGACATAAATTAGAATGAAATGAAGATACATTTGTTAATTGTACAAGTTAATTTTTACTAATTAAAAAATTAAAAAATTTTTAACATTACAAATTTGGGGGTGCATTTTTACCATTTGGAACGGCTCGTTCTCAACTAGGGTTTTTAAGCCAATTTACTACTTTGGAACGGCCCGTTCTAGGCTACTAAATTACCCTTGTTTTAGTAGTTTGGAACGACCCGTTCTGGGCACGCCTGGAAACGAAAATATGGCAGCATAATCGATTATGCATGGGACATAATCGATTCGATTATGCTGGCATATTTTCGCTTCAGTTTTTCACCTCTTTTCAGCTTATGGGCAGGGGTATTATTGAGTTTTCTCAATTCATACGTAGCTTTCATCTCTTTTCTTTGCAAAAGCGCGAGGAACGCCAACGCGGGTTCTCCCGCTTTTCTTCGCCTTTCTTTCCTTACAAATCAGCAGAAACAAAACGTCCACTTTCTTCACCTTTCTTTCGTCGTGAACAGTAAATCAGCGGAAACATATACTACCTAAATAAACACTGAACAGTAAATACTAAATACTACTTATAAAATTTAACTTATAAGAATTGTTTTTTTTATTTATTTTTTTATATATAAGATACAATTTATATTATTTTATATATTAATTATTTATAGATTAAAACACTCTTAACTGTAGTCTATTGTCTTAATTTTATAAAATGTATTAACTTTAAATTTTTTAAAGAATATATATTATAATTGGTTAATAAAAAATATATAAATATTCATTAAGAGCGAAAAATAATATAGGATATATATTTTAATTGATTGAAAAATATATGAATATTAATTAAGAAAAGAAAGTAGTATAAAGATAATTTTAAAAATATTTATATAAATAGAATAAATTTATTATTATCTATTAAAATAATTACTTTTCTTAATTTTAAAGAATTAAGTAATTAAATTTTATATATAACCATCAAAGTAGTCGTAAATAGTAGTAGTAATTAAAACTTAAAAGCCTTCATTTTGAAATTTGAAACGCATTTTTTCTTTTCAAAATTTAATTTAAAAGCTTTTTCTATTATCATTAATTTGGTAGTTTTATTATATATATATATATATATATGCGCATAATTCTACATTATCCTTTAAATATTAATTATTATGTGTACCAATTTGGCCAAGTCAGTAGACTCAGCCAAGCTCAATTAAAGTGGATGACCTTGGTAGGAGAAAATAACATTGAAAGGGTCATATGGCTTATAATGACCACCCCACCCCTCAAATTACATCGGCACATCGACCAAGGCCGAGCCATTCCCTAACTAACAAAGTAAACAAATGAAGAAACAATCTTATCTTAATTAACAAAGATATCCGAGTAAAGAGAAAAAATCCTAATCTACATCAAGGTAAGTGCATTATATATACGATACCTACACATCTAAAAAGACTAACTTAAATATCGGAGTCTCTTTTGCAAATATCACCCCTATCTTAGAGTGATCAACTTGCAAGGCGAAGGATGCTCATCGATCTCATTAGGAGATCGTCCGTATACCAATCTCAAGTGAGAACATGTATTATAAGTTTGTTAATTTTTATAATATTTACATTACATTATTGATGACTGGTTAAACAAATTTACACACTAATAATAATATTAATTATTAAATTCTAATAATATATGTTTACATTGTCTCTCAATAATATAATTATCATGTATAATATATATATA